CGTCCCCGCGTCCCCGCGTGGAGCCCCAGCCGGCCCGGGCTTTCTCGGAATTGTCACCGCGGCCCCGCGCTCCGCAAAGCTCCACAAAATGAAGTCTGAGCGGGTGGGGGTGCAGGGCTCCAAAATGGATGTTTGAGCAGTTCCGATCCTGCCGAAACTCCCTCCGCTGAACGCTGCATTTTTAAGCACAGCCTATCGGCCATAGATAGGATCGACTGCAGAGGCAGTGGCTTTAGTTTTTAACATATTTGAATCTGCAGGAAGTTAATAGATCTTGTTGATCCTAAATACAAACTAAGGGTTTGCTCTTGGTGTAGTAATTTTGTGGGCCGGAATCAACATTCTTGAGAGCTTTAAGTTCATAATTGTTGGATTTTACTTTTTTGCAGACATTTGCACTAGTTTTTCCATAACGTAGGGTAAATGAAACGTTTCATTAGTGACCGTTGAGATTAGAATTAAGTACTTAACCATTGAAGTTGAATATGAATATGTTACAAAAATACAGGTAAGGAATTTTGTTTAGATGCTTGCTATGACATATCATACTTACAGTTGAATTTGGTTTGAGAAACTTTTCATGTAGTATGGCTGCTAGTCTGATAGGATGTGGAGGGATTCTTTTGAAAGTGTTTAATGCCTGAGGGGTGCTGCCATTGAGTTATGGAGGCTTAATAAAAAATTAGGAACAGATTGTTGGCGGTTAGTTAGGCATTACACTTGTTTTGATCATTGATGCTTTAATATGTAGATGTGTTCACCTATTAAAATAATTGAAATTATTCTTAGATCTAAGTTTTTTGAGAGGGCTTATAGGAATTGGTTTAGTGCAGTGATATTTTGAATAGTCACAGTGACCAAAAAGTTTTGTTTGGTATAGCGAATACATAGTATGTGTAGGAATAAAAGTTAAGCTAATGGTTAATTCTTGGTATGTTTGTAATTTTGGTGCTTCACTTTATACTGTGGGGGATGTGAATAGTTTTAATGTCTGCGTTTGTAAGCAGGTTAAGGTGTAAAGGCATAGAATTATGTTTGTGAGGTGCATTGTTAAACTATATCCCTCCAATCCCAAGGTCCTAAAACAAATTGGATATTTATTATAATAAACCACTGCAGGAGTAAAATTGAAAAATATTTCTCATGCTTTTTTATATTTCAAGTAGAACAAAAACTTGAATTTACAAGGTTTGGGTATCAGTTTACATGTGGGGGAGGGGAGAAGTGAAGAAGGAAGTTAGAGTAAAAATGTGATAGTCCCAAACCGAGGATTAGAGTGCTGTCTGCAATTTGGCCAACTGTGGCCTTGTACTGTTGTAGGGTTGTTTACATGTTTCTTTAGAGCCCTCTCTGAATTAGCAAATCACTACTGACGACACATTTCCCGCCAGGTGAACATGAACTGGAATCAGTCTGAGAGGTCAGAGATTTATCAGTCAGATACCTCGTAATATGGCAGTCTTAATAAAATATATAGTTTTTTTAAGGAAACCCCCCCCCAATAGAGGTTTTTTTGTATGTAATATGGCAGTCTTAATAAAATATATAGTTTTTTTAAGGAAACCCCCCCCCAATAGAGGGTTTTTTTTGTATGTTTGGCACCTGTGCATAAAATTTTTCACGCTGAATAAAGTTGGCAAGACTACCTTGTGTATTTTAGCTTTAGCAGTAACAAAATACATCAGAAAATGGAAGAGAAATTAATTTAGATGAGTTCATGAGCTTTTTTTTTCCATATAAAAATGGGCTTAGATAATCTTAGTTACTCAAATTATTGGGAATCATGAGAGGCCTATAGAGCCTTTTTGCACTTGTGTTTTAAAAAAAATTATGGAATCAGATTTATAGGAAAGTTGAAGATGCAGAACTGAAAATTATCTTCTGCCCTTCATCCAGCTACCCTTAATGTAACATAGCTGTAGTGTATTAGTGAAACCTAGGAGATTAACATAGCTATATTATTAAGTAAAATAACTGTAGACATACTGGGATTTTGCTAGTTTTCCCACTAATGTCCATTTTCTGCTCTTGGATCTAGTGTACAGTAGACATTGTATAAAGTGTTGTGTTTAAACTAGGGTAAATATGCATATACAGTTGAACTTTATGCCAGTTTAGCTTGGTATTTCAAGATTAAAGGGACCTTGTAAAACCAAGGTGCAACATAGTTTACTTCCAAAGATGGTTTTATAGCAAGGCTTCTTTGTATTTTATTACAAAAAGTTGTATGATTAACTTTTTAGTAATAAACTAGGAATTAGAAGATACTGTCCCAGTATTAATTTGTTTAGATTGCATTTGTGTGAACTTGTGGGTTATTTGTGCTGTAGTGAACAGGTGAATATTATGGAGGTCGTTGCCTGGTCTTTGCCTTATATTATAGTGTTCATTAGTTTACCACATAAATGTTAGTGAACTAAAAAAATGAGTAATGACTTACTTCAAGGAAAGGTTATTTTTCTGGTATTGAAATAAAATCTATAGTGTCATAGCTCATTAATTGAAGACGAGTTCTATTAATGTTCCTTGAAGATTTTATGAACCTTGAGTACAGTGTTTGCTTAAGAATTATTCTTGTTTATTACACTTTAGCTTCTTCACATTTGTTCTTGTTTTCAGTTAAATTCTTTTCTTTGGTTGTTTTCTGGCTTTCATAAAGCCAGCCACTTGTGGGGACCAAGTTCATTATCCTTCCAAAGTGCAATAAGTGGTGGATTTTTTTCTTTTTCCTTTTCCACAGTATTATCTAAGAAGATTCACTCTCTTTTCTCTCAGCCCCACCTCCTGCATTTTTATGGCCAGTTGCCCTGAAGTATGCCCTTGCAATGAATTACTATAGCAGCATCACTTGCTGGTGCCACCCACTGGTACCAGCTCCCCAGGGCTTATAGTTCGTGATCCTTTTTATCTTGGGGTACAACTTTTTAGAATAATACCAGCTTTTATGTTAGATGTTTTGTTTGTTAATTGTCCAACAAAGTATACTAGAGTTGGTGAGAAAAACACTGGTGGATTTTCTTTTAGTTTGTAAGCTTGTGTAGTGTTATCTTGCACCTAAAGCAATACTACTACTTGATTGGGTTGTGTTTTTATGTCTCCTCCTTTGTTTCTGTAACATTTCCAAATGATTTTAACATCACTTTAGTATACTTCTCTTTTTCAGTAGTGTGATGATTAACATTTTGCCAATGAATGGGCTTAGAAGACTTTATAGTTTTGAAATACTTGGGGTTTATCTGTTGAATTATGGAAATAGGTTTAAAATTGTTCTTAAGTTTTTTCTTTTAAAGAAGGCTGTAATGCCTCAAAGTCAGTTTTATTGATCCATTTCTAACATTTTCTTTGCAATGGTTTTAAAGTAAAATACCTTTATCCATTCAATAAATTACACATTGAAGTTTGTGCTAGAATTGTTCTAGTCATCTATGGATGTTTTTGAAGTCTGTTATAGTCTTAGTGATTATAATGATACTGTTGAATTGCATGGTGCTTTATAGTTTATAAAATTTGACTGATTTTTTTTTTTTGTCCCTCCCTGAAAGGTAATTATTTTTTGCATTAACAGGAAATCTGGTCTTATTCTAAATCACACGATTCCATAGTTCTAGCTAGGACTAGAACTATTAAGAGTTTAGAGTATTAAAAGTCTGATTTGGGCTTGTGTTTTCCATTCTATTTCATTAAAAACAAATTAGCAGATTTTTTTTTTAAGGTGCAAATTTTTTACATAAGATGTCTTGCCTGTTTTTGCTGCAAGCTATCGATGCTTACCCCTTCATCTTTGAGGTTCATCTGTGTTTTTTATGTATGCTTTTCACATTAGGTTTATTCACAGTAGTTGGGAAAGTTATAATTTTGTTTTAGATTTAGATATATTTTTCCTCATTTAATGGCTATTATGGTTTGTGCCTAGATATATACCTTCAAAGCCTCATGCAGACAGGAGGGGCTTTTTCAGAAGTGGCCGAATCTGGAGTGTGTGTGATCGATTCATGGTGCAATGCCAGGATTAAGGATGCTAGGATTAAGGATGGGTGATTACTAAATCAGTCCACTGATTGGTCTCGCACCACCTAAATCCTGGTAGCCTGGATACAATATAAAGGACAGGAAGAGTGGAGTCTTGTCTCTTGCTTGTTTGCTACCTCTTGCCCATGATGTACTGTTTCTCCTCTACAATGCCTGTCTGCTGTGCCACCTAGCCTTGGAGCCAGCTGATTATGAACTGAAACTTCTACAAACTGAACTAAATAAACCTTTTTCCCTTTAACTTTGGGTGTCAGGTATCTCACCAACGGGAGAAAAGTAACTGAGATAATGACCCTTATTACTTGGGAAAATGGCTACCACAGTTATTTTTATTTATCTCTGGAAGGACAGTGACTTGCTCAATATTTACTTAGACTTGTTATTTGAATTAGTTGTATTTATTTTAGGGAATTTCTTGACCAGAAAGCTGTTCACAGCCATTATTACTGTTTGTAAAAAAACATACTGTAGGTGACATAAGTTTGACTTTTTTTTAAAGAAAGGAAAAGGGACAGAATTCCAGTATTGTAAAGTTAATTTATGCATGAGCTACAATATTCTTTTACAAAAGGTGCAGATTTAATGCTGGCTAGAAAAAGTTTTAAGTTGATTATCCAGCTGAATGGTAACCTTTAGCTGAGTAGTAGAGCACTTGCCTAAAGTGTGAGGCCTGATCTTCAACATCACAGAAAGAAGAGAAGATTGGCCAGGTATGGTGGCACACACCTGTAATCCTAGTTCTGGCAGGCTGAGGCAGGAGGATTACAAGTTTGAATCCAGCCATTTTAATGACTTCAGGAAACTCTGCCTCAAAAAAATAAAGGGAAACCAGGCGTGGTGTATGCCTGTAATCCTAGCATTTTGGAGGCTAAAACAGGATCGCTGCAAGTTTGAGACTAGCCTGGGCTACTTAGGGAGTTCAAGGTCAGATACAGAAAGATCCTGTCTCTAAAGATGTGGGGCGGTGTGGAGATGTAGCTCAGTTTGAAAGATCCTGTGTTCAATCCCTAGATCCCTAGTACCTGCTTCTCACCCCCCAACACAAGATAAAGATTGAAAAAAAAATTATTATTTTTTTTTGAGACAGTCTTGCAGTGTAGTTCAGGCTAGCTTCCAATTCACAGCAGTCCTCCTGCCTCAGCCTCCCAAGTGCTGGGATTACAGACTGTAAATGTATTCTTTTTACTTAAGATGTCCAAAAGACTAAAGTGAAAAGTAAATTGTTATGGTAATGAAAAGAAAGGTGACAAACATGTAGTGTCCATTCCAAATTGAAGAGTGAGGACATGACTGTTATGTCTGATCCTTTATTTATTTATTTTTTCCTCCAGTACTCGGGATCAGACTCAGGGCCTCGCACTTGCCAGGAAGGCTTGGCACCACTGACCTACATCCCTGGCTCTCTGATGCTTCGTTTTAAAACTTAAGATTAATAAGTTTTATTTAAGTGCTTGTATTTAAATGATTGCAGTTTTAAGTTTAAGCATAGAGATTTGTACTGGGTCCAGGTTTTTCTCCCTTGTCTCTTCCGGCATGCTTTGTTTCCTTTCCTGGGCCTTAGTTTTATCTTTATAAAATACAGATGTGATTGCACCATGTACTTGCTTATAAGCCTTTTATAGCTTTTTTGCTATCTGCAGGGTAAAGTCCAAACAACTTAGTAAGGTCTGTGAGGCCATTTAGAGGCCTTTATAAAACTGTGTAGTCGTATTCTCCATTACTTTCACCTATAAATATAAGCCTTATCTGAATCGAACTCCAAACTGCATTTTGTTTTTTAGGGTTTCTTTTGTGTATAATTGTGTTATTTCTATAGTTTTATTAATGCTTCTATTACTAACTGACAACAGTGAAATGTTCTGCTTTATTTTATTACTATTTCATATTCCTTTTATATGAAGTTTTTCTAGTTTTATAGTTCTCACCTACTGTTTGGTTATATGGCCCATATATGCCCATGTATGTGTATGTTTGCTGGGACAGAGTGTGAATCATTTGAAGGTAGGGATTGTATTTAGTATGCTTATTTCATCTTGGAGGATATGTTCAAATGTCTGAATTGAGTCATTAAATCTTAGTTCATCCTTTGAAATGTGCACTTTCCAACTACATGAAAATTACACTTTCCTTAAATTTAAGATGTTTTGGATTAATATTTGCATTAAATTTTATGGAATGATTTAAGTTAGATGAACAGTTTTTGTCCTAATCTTTGTTTATGGTCACAGACTCTAAGAATACGATGAAACTAGATGATCTCCCTTCCATTCCAGACTGTTTTCTCAAAAGTTAATAGATTGATTTAGAGGATTTGAAGATTCCTTGAAATAGTCGTGTGTCCTATGTTGACAGTCCTTGGCTAGGTATATCATACTTTTATGCTCTCATTGTTTAGTGACATGGCGTTAACAGAAAATCACAGATCTAGATGTGAGATAAGAATGGCTTTGTTTTTTTGGTAGTGAGTAAATTATATAGGGGTCTTATTCCCAGTGTCTTTACTCCTGATCTTTAGTGGAGGGCAAGTATGACATAGTACTTAAGGGTTTGGGTTCTAAAGTTAGGCTTTTCCTAGTTTTAAATCCTGTCTTGGCCATTTGATAACTGTGTGACTTTGTTTCTCAGTTTTCTCATCTGTGAAATAAGGATAATAACTTTAACAATAAAATTGTTTTAAGGATACATGATATACTCATAAGCTTTATTATAGTACTTTGCATATAGAAGAGAAGTTTAACTGTTGTGTATTATGCCAGTGTGGTGGGACATGCCTGTAATTCCAGCATACTCTGGAGGCTGAGGCAGGAGAATCACAGGTTTGAGACAAATCAGTGTTACATTGTGAGTTCAAGGGCAGTCTGGACTATATAGCAAGACCTTTTCTCCTCTCCCCCATATGTGTGTGTGTGTATGTATGTATATACATTTTTAAAAAAAAATTAGTGTTATTAATCCCTTTAAAAGAAACTACCATGTGACATTGGTGTGTAGGAAATTATTGCTTTGTTTTCCTACATTGGAATTTTCCAATCTTGCTTAATCTGTAAACTTTTGGGACAAAACCTGAGATTCTAGCGGTGTACAGAATATAAAACATTCATGCCTGATAATTCTTTTTAGTCTGGAGGTTAAAACCACAGTATATATCTCCCAGCTTTCAAGATTGTCAAAAAACTTTTCATACAAGGTTGCTTTACTAAGTGGTCTAAGGGCAATGCCTTTTCCTCATTAAACTTTTTAAAGATCTCCCAGTTCTTAGGAAGGTAACGGTGGCTTGCTAATGGAATAGCTGTTGCTATGAGTTTATTCTAGGGTATATTAATGTGCATTATGAAAGAGTAGTTCTAATTGTTTAAAGTTTATATATATCCAACTCAAATGACTTGATAACTGCACCTGTGTTTTTTCATAAATATAGTGTATCTGATTTAGTCATATATTTTTAGTGAATTGTATACCTTTTAACTCTCTAGTTAGGTAATGTTAAGTTGAAGTAATGTTAATCCCTTCTAGCTAGTTTTACCTCTAAAAACATAGTACAACGTTATAATTGAGGAAACAAGATTAATTCAGATATCCAGGCTTAGTGGCCCATATCTGTATACCTAGCTACTCAGGAGTCTTAAGGTAGGAAGATCACAAGATCACATATTTAAGATCAGCCTGGGCATAAAGAGACTCTGGTGCCCCCCAACCAAAAAAAAAAAAAAAAGAAAGAAAGAAAAAAGAAAAGTAAAATAAGAAACATTCTAGAATAGAATGTTCTGGTTAATATTTCCCCTCTCTGCATTTAAATAGGATGGGCTGTCTTTGCAATGAATAACAAAACTAGAAGAGATAATTAAGAATTCACTGTGTTATTAAGATGACCTCCATTTTCATGTAGAATTTATACTAGTTTAGAGATTTGAATATTGGTTTAAACATAACGTAAGTATATCACAGCATTTTTGTTTTTTCATCCAGACAGGTGATTTGGCTTCTGCACAGTTAGGAGGAGCACCAAACCGATGGGAGGTTTTGTCAGCCACACCTACAACTATAAAAGATGAAGCTGGTAATCTAGTACAGATTCCAAGTGCCGCTACTTCAAGTGGGCAGTATGTCCTTCCCCTTCAGAATTTGCAGAATCAACAAATATTTTCAGTTGCTCCAGGATCAGATTCATCAAATGGTACAGTGTCCAATGTTCAATATCAAGTAATACCACAAATTCAGTCAACAGATGGTCAGCAGGTTCAGATTGGTTTTACAGGCTCTTCAGATAATGGGGGTTTAAATCAAGAAAGCAGTCAAATTCACATTATTCCTGGCTCTAATCAAACCTTACTTGCCTCTGGAACACCTCCTGCTAATATCCAGAATCTCATGCCACAGACTGGTCAGGTCCAGGTTCAGGGAGTTGCAATTGGTGGTTCATCTTTTCCTGGCCAAACCCAGGTAGTTGCTAATGTGCCTCTTGGTCTGCCAGGAAATATTACCTTTGTACCAATCAATAGTGTCGATCTAGATTCTTTGGGACTTTCGGGCAGTTCTCAGACAATGACTGCAGGCATTAATGCCGATGGACATTTGATAAACACAGGACAAGCTATGGATAGTTCAGACAATTCCGAAAGGACTGGTGAGAGGGTTTCTCCTGATATTAATGAAAGTAATACTGATACAGATTTATTTGTGCCAACATCCTCGTCATCACAGTTGCCTGTTACAATAGATAGTACAGGTATACTACAACAGAACACAAATAGCTTGACTACTTCTAGTGGGCAAGTTCATTCTTCAGATCTTCAGGGAAATTATATCCAGTCGCCTGTTTCTGAAGAGACACAGGCTCAGAATATTCAGGTTTCTACAGCACAGCCTGTTGTACAACATCTACAACTTCAAGAGTCGCAGCAGCCAACCAGTCAAGCCCAAATTGTGCAAGGTATTACACCACAGACAATCCATGGTGTGCAAGCTAGTGGTCAAAATATATCACAACAGGCTTTGCAAAATCTTCAGTTGCAGCTGAATCCTGGAACCTTTTTAATTCAGGCACAGACAGTGACCCCTTCTGGACAGATAACTTGGCAAACGTTTCAAGTACAAGGGGTCCAGAACTTGCAGAATTTGCAAATACAGAACACTGCTGCCCAACAAATAACTTTGACGCCTGTTCAGACACTCACGCTTGGTCAAGTTGCTGCAGGTGGAACCTTGACTTCAACTCCAGTTAGTCTAAGCACTGGTCAGTTGCCAAATCTACAGACAGTTACTGTAAACTCTATAGATTCTACTGGTATACAGCTACATCCAGGAGAGAATGCTGACAGTCCTGCAGGTGAGTCTTAAATGATATGCTATAAAAAGTGCACTAATAATCTATGGGAAAAAAATGTTTTTAACCTAGTGTTTATCAGTATCAGTCTCTCATTAAAGGTAATACATATTCCTATATTTATATGTGAAAGTAGATGTTAAAGTATCTTTCAGATTGTTCTATTTTTGAAAGTTTGTAGTTTTTGAAGTCAAGGACTCAGTTTTCTATTAGTCCAGTTGCATTCATGATAATTCCTTACAACAGTTTAATGCTTGTTTTGACATTGGATTGGTATTGTCAAGCATTACAGAATATTTATTTGGCAGGAAGTATGTGTCATGGTTGGCCTTATGATTTGGGCTGAATATTTGGTTGAGTAATGAGGTTGGCACAGTGAATATATGGCATTGGGAATGAAGAGTACTTAGGTAGCTGTCTCATGTACTAGCTAGATGTGATTGATTGATTGATTGATTGATTTGGTACCAGGGATTGAACTTGGGACCTTGCGCTTGCAAGGCAGGTGGCGGAACCACAAAGCTAAATCCCCAGCCCTAGATATGTGATTTTGGTCAGATATTTTTCTCCCACAAACTCAGTTTCCTCATTCTGTGAAATGAGGTGTTGGAGTAGGTAACTATACTTAGGGTACCTTCTAGACTAAAAATTCTTTGGATTTATTTTTGTGGGCATCACCACATTCATGACAGGGCTATATTTGTATGTCTTGTCGCTAGATGGCTCTGATTTGAATTCGATTGTTCCCTTTGGCTTGAACCACTGGTGATACATGCATAACTTTCCCATTGGATGGCTTGTACCACTTCTCACAGAGTTTTTGGTTACAGTAATGGAAAGAAAGGCATTGATTTAGCAGACCAGATGTCATATTACATTTCTTTAAGGAAAACATTAAAATGGCATAAAAATTGGAATGTAGGTAATTTGTGGTACAGCAATAGTAAATGCATATTATATATACTAGCAGTGGGGTACTTGTAAGATTTCCATCTTAAAGTTTAGAGAATTACTGATAAACTATTCACAAATACAATTTAATGAAATAAATTTGTTGATTATTATAACTTTAAATTGGTATGAATAGTATTGATATTTGTATTTAGGCAGTAATTGTATTCAGTCAAATAACTAGATTTGGTCCATTTATAGATATTTTATTTTTATTAGTAAAAAGATCCATAAAAGTGATTAGGTCCCTTTGTACCACCAGTGTCAAAGCCACCTGATGGGACAGGTGGTTCAAGCTGTATACTACTGGGGGTTTAAGTCAGTGGGAAGGTAAACTTAGTTGGGCTAGAAATATTAATATTCTTTGGTTCTGTGATAGTGGGCATTAAATTTAGATGTGTTAAACTGGATGTGGTGGCACACACCTGTAATCCTAGCACTCAAGAGGCTGAGGCAAGGGGAACACTGCAAGTTGGAGGCCAGCCTGAGTTGTTCAAGCCAGTCTGAACTATGTAGTGAGAGCCCATCTCAAAAAATCCAAGCCAGGGTGGGGATTTAGCTCTGTGGTGCCACCACCTGCTTTGCAAGTGCCAAGGACCTGAGTTCGATCCCCATTAAAAAAAGCAAAAACCAACAACAACAACAAAAAAACCCAAAACTTAGGTGTGCTAGAGATAGCTATTGATAAGTGTGGGTAGTAGAAGTCTCTTAAATCTACTCCTTGAGTATTAAGCTAGAATTAAAATATTAAAAAGATAGTATCATTGTTACTCTGTTAACGTTACACTGTATGTCAAAGTATTATTGTTTTGTTGTGTACTACAATCTGAATTTTATTACTGTAACTCTTCTACTTTGTAGTTGGATCTCTGTAGAGATTCAACTACATAGTAAAGCCTTCTGCTAGATCAGTGATTCCCAACTCATTAGGGGCATTTGAATTAAATTGATTGGTTGCAGTAACTCCCACCATCTATTTGATTTATCTTTTTTACTTCCTTCAGGGAGATGTTTGATTTATGCTTAGAAAATTGAAATTGTCCTGAATTCTTAGATCTGTATTTGAAAATCCTTTTAATTATATTTGAGTCTTCTGAAGCTGGGTTTAGAGCAGCAGTGCTCAGTGTGACCAGTGGATCCCTGAGACCCTTTCAGAAGTTCTTCATGTTAGTCTTTTTCATAGGAATGCTAAGGAGTTGCTTATGCCATTGTGTTCACATTTTCACAAATGGTGCCTTAAACTTCAAATGTACTATTAGTTTCTGTATTCATGATCATATACTTGCAGCAAAATTGAGTTTTATCAGAGAATGATCTATATGAACTAATAAAAATGGTTATTTATACTAAATATTGGCCCTTAAGTGCCATATAT